TATGTATATTCTGCCAAAAATGTATACACACTTCAGGAAAAGAAAAACAGTATGCTGTGTTTCCAACAGATGGTGTTACCCTTGCATGCGGCACTCTAGAGGATGTCGTATATCACAGCAAACCCATTGCACTGCCGGCCCTTAGGGAAGAAACTGGAAATGCAGCAGCGCGCAGTAACCTCAACGACCAGGGTCACCCGAGCAGCAGCTCGCCGTACTAATAAACGTCTGGAAGCTCCTGGCCACCACTCTGAGCCCCTTTTGCAATTGTGGAGGCCAAATGTAACTTGTATTAATCTCATGCTGTCTCAACAAATTTATTATCAAGATATCTGTACAAGTTTTTCTTTTCCTGAAGTGTGTGTACTTCTTTTTTTGGTGGACTCTGTGCTATGTACGTGTGTGTGTGTGTGTGTGTGTGTGTGTGTGTGTGGTGCTGGGGCGGAACTCAGGGTCTCCTCAGTATTACTGCTGCGATGCATCCTGAGCCCCCCATCCCCCACTTCTGTGAACTGTCGATTTAGCAGCCAAAGTTACTTCCGAGATTTAACATGTTCTGTACACTGGCCCAAGGCAATGAACACATTTCCAGTAAAGCCCAAACAATTTTGTCTCCTGGGTTGTTTTCTCCTGTCTTCACATCGTAACACGGAGAACTGATCCCTTCATAACTCACTCCAGCCTACCCAGCTATAAACGGTTATGGAAAAACAAGGCTTACCGTCGATCACTGGCTTAGGCTGAGAACTTTTGAGGCGCAGGGAGGGCCGGAAGCGGGTGCGGTCGTTGAAGCTCCAGCTCTTCTGCACTTTGGTGGGGCTGCCTTCAGCCGTGATGTCTGTGCTTGGGGACCTCCTGTCACCTACGGAGGCTTGTCTGCTCTTAATACTCTGGCCCCTCGGGCTGGCCATGCGCACCCGCTCCTTAAAACTTAGCTTCTGACTGTGGAGAACAGAGGCATGATTATTCCATTTCAAGCATTTTCTTCCAATTCACGTGAGTACACAGTCTGATAAAATTGAATATGGTCATGTATTCCAATAGATGAATTGTTTTCAACAAGTAGAAACACAGAAATGTATTTTTCTCTCATTGAAAGGTTGAGCTCTATTTAATCTTTATGTTTGCACTCATTTGAGATCCATCTAATTCTGCAGGGATACACACCCTTGTAGGACTCTGGACAGACAGGACGGAGGCCAGGTGTAGCAATCTGTACACAATTACATGGGAGACAGACTGATTTGCAATTCACTTTAAAAAGTGCTGGGTAATTTTAGCGTTAGCCTCAACTTGTAAGACTTGAAAAAGTTAGTTTTGGTTTGGGAGCACAATCTCTTCATAATTTCTGAACAGTTCTACAGGAAGAGAGTGATGACAGTTACACATATACATACATTCAGCATGCATTTTATTTTCCAGGCAAGATTATGATATCCATAAATTCACGCAGTCTTATGGCAGTTGGTAGCACTGAATACGTACTGAGCATGTGACACTTTAATGTGACCTTTCTTTTATGCTTCCATTCGTTGTTATGAAACAAAAACCACACAAGGTAGAAGAGCCTCAACATATTTCGACTGTGATGAGTGATTAATGCAGTGAGATGTAATTAATGTTCACTAACACGATTTCCTGCTGTTCAACAGGTTATTGATTTGCTGTGGCAGCTACTGGTAGATTACATTTGTCCAAGCATTGTTTCTAGCGCTGGACGGGGTTGAACTGCTGTGAGCTGATGCGGGAACATTCACAACAGCGCGAACCGGCGTGCATCTTCACACTTTCCCAACTCGGAGGGGAGGTGTGCTGCGGGGGCAGGGGGAAGGCAGGTCCCATCTCCAACTTGGAGATCAAAGAACCCACGTGGCTGAGGGTTGCTGTGGGAATAAAATGAACCAGAGGAAGCACTGCACTCCCATTTTGTTTGGGTTTCTAGTTTCATTTGTAAAACATTGGTGCTACTCATAGGAAGGCGATGACTGTTATGAGCGTGTGAGACCCAGGGCTCAGCAGGGACTGAAGAAATAATGGGGCAAGGGGTCTGAGGGGAAGTGGCGTGGGGCAGCCTTCCTGGGGCTGAAGGCAGCGTTCTCATGGATCAGAATTACTTGGGACTAAGTGGAGACCTCGGTCTCCCCACTTAACGCTGTGTCCACTGCCCCTAGCTGCAGCGTGCCAACAGCAAATGTATTTAGTGGTTGTGTTTCACGGCTAACAAGAAACAGAAACATTGATCTTTCCATGCCTGCTTGCTTAACAAACCATATTCTAAAAGGTGCTGTGTCGTAGGTGTGTTTACATGAAAGCAAACCAAACCACGGACAATGGTGGTCAGAGAGCTTTGGTCACAGAAAACAAATCGACCATGCAACTGCCAGCTCCCTCTGCCATGCAGGCACAGCCAAGTCCCTGACCAGCTGCAGGCGCATGCACTGAACAGCGGACGGTTGTGTGATGAGGTCAGGGGAGCTGAGAGTTCTTTACGACAGTGCCGGCAGCTGAAGGGCTTATCTGCCCTCGGCAAATGTGCGAATAAACGGTAGATCACATTACACAAGAGCAACAGTAACATCAGAAAACGGCATCTTTTTATTCGCAGGCTAGGTTCTCCACGCCATCATCCAAAAGCCTTCGATTATTTGAACAAGTCTTTCAGAGGGATAGTGCCCAATAATATCTGCTTTTCTTAATTTTTTTTTTTTTTTTTTTTTTTTTTTTTTTTTTTTTTTTTTTTTTTTTGGTACCGGGGATCGAACTCGGGTCCTTGCACTTGCAAGGCAGGCCACCGAACTGCTGAGCTAAATCCCCGGCCCTTAATATTTTTAATAGTAACATTTTCAGTGTTTTTTGAGGTTCTGGGAATTAAAGTCAAGGCCTTCGCTCTGAGCTATATCCCCAGCTGTTTTTGTAAAAAAATTTAATTTAATTTAATTTTTATAAAGTTTTGAGACAGGGTCTAAGATGTAGAGGCTGGGCTTGAACTCGTGATACTCCTGCCTCAGCCTGAATCTCTTTTTGACTTTAATGTATCTGCTCTATAATTTTAAATCTGCTTCAGGAAATACGTACTTTCTTCTGTACCCTTATTTAGATTAATGAATGGTCAAGTAGACATAACTATCACTACAAATGCCTACTCTATACTTGTCCTTACCTATTAGCTTTTCTGGAACCAGCAGACTAATTACTATAGTAAGCTAGGTTTAGTAAATATCAAATTACTTTCTCAGACTTTCAAGATATCTCCTTTCTATTCTAAGTGAATAAGAAACTGTTAAGAAATCATAAAATATGTTTTTAATGGGAATTTTATTCCTTTAAAAATTTTTATTACTTGAAAAAAGTAAAAAGAAATCTAAAGTGAAAATAATCAGCTTTAAACTCACCATTGTTTATTTATAGTGAGAAAGCATATAAAATTGCTCCAATAAATATATTTAAAATGCCCTATGAAATATTCTGACATGACCTTTATGGAATAAAGGAAAGTGGAAATAACGTATTTAGAAACTCAGTAGTATTTAAAGCACTTAAAATCGACACAAATAAATTCTAGGCACCATTTCCCTTTTGTCCTTCTAAACTACACGAATGCTTGCTAATGTCTACTATTTAAAAAAAAATCTCAAGAACTATTCTGAAATGCACTCAACACAGTACACATTAAATTAGAGAAAACAGCATTTTCACTTTCTCTCTAGACAGAATTGTATGCTAGGTAAGACTAATATCCTAACCCAGAACTTTTAAACTAGGCATTTGCTTTCCTCAAGGCAAAGCTCTGTTGTTATGTCCTCTCAGAAAAAAAACCTCACTTTTGTTAATACTGCTTCATTTCTCCTTTGGAAATCAACAGAGTATTTTGATTATATGGTATTAAGCTGATTAGGTGTATGTTCCTGAAAATACACATTGACTAAAAATATAGACTCTTCATCGGTACAACAAGGTTTCGATTGTTTTCCTGTCATTTTTTGACATTTATAAACACCATTTTTGAGGAAGATTTATGTAGCAGTGATCTTAGGAAGAATGCCAAGGATGATCCCCAGGAGGCCAAAAGGAGGTCTATTCTTGGAGAAAGTAACCAGAAGGTCGCCGTGGTCGCTGACGGGCACATCTCTCGTGGTCCACAATCCCACATTCCCGGATGAGGTCCGTACTCAGGGGAGACCGCGGAGCTGCTCACAAGGGAACTCTTCCCTCTCCCAGGACCAGAAATCCAAGTTACTCAAATGATCCAGCCTGTGTCGGACTACGGGAAGCTCCCTGCCAGGGAACCGGGAAGCAGCACAGCCCCACAACAATCCTCTAGGACTTGGAGTGCTGCAGTTGCTGTTATACTTAACGAAGGGATTAGCCCTTCCTGGGTTAAGCATTCTGCAAATTCTTTGCTCAGGCGCACCATGGCACAGTCCAGTGCGTGCAGGAGCCCAGCAGTTATCCCACCACAAGGGGGCGCCAAGGGGCGGAGGCCAGGGCTGTGGGGGACCCAGCCTACTCGCCCCAGTGGTGGGGAGGATCAAAGCAGGCAACAAGCAACAAGGAGAATTACAAGCGGGCTGAACACCTCATTCAAGAAGTCCCTGGGAAGAGTGAGTCTGTGAGGAGGGCTCAGGTGGGGTGGCGGTGTGGCCTGGTCATGCACCTGAGGTTAGTTGGCATTCTCAAATCTCATGGCAACAGCCGGGATGCTGGGTACCTCTGCTTCCGGGAGGTGTACATTCGGAAGAGCTTCTGCTTATTACCGCAGAGCTTACTAGAGAGGGAAATAGAGCAGCACATTACTAAGCATTTCACCACCCGGAAAGTGCTGAGGGGCTTCTTTCTTGCTTTTTTGAGAAACACAGCCTTTTGGCTTTATTTGATTTTATTTCTTTCAGATGAGTACACAGACTAAGCAGTGAGAACTCTGTAGTTTAATTGTGCTGCTTGAAATATATTTGGTTGTTAGGTTGAAGTAATTGGATTTGAAATAAGGCATTATAAATGATAGTCTATGTGTTAGCACCTATTTCCTATGAAACTAAGAATACAAATATTTAAAACATAGCAAGCCCTGTAATAAATATCACTGTAACATAGTAAAAATGCTTGAGGAATAAAATATTTCAGAAATTTTAAGAAGAAATACAGAAATCATTGAAGCAGATAGCATTGTTTTGAAATTTAAAACAAGTTATTGATATGTGTGTGAAACACTTGTAGTTATAGTTAATATGAATAACCATCCCTCAGCTAGGATATCTGTTAAAAAATGGAAGATGCCAGGTCGCCAGTATTTTTAAAAGTCTATTTCTTATTTGAACTTTCACAGTGTGTTTTTAAAAGAGTAAATCCTTTCCTTCTGTCAATAAATGTAAACCGAAGGAAAGACCATTTTGAAAAGACTGTTTCCCAGCAATCTAACCTTTTGACAAAAAGGGCATTAGTTGACTGTAATGGGGAGAAAGATAAGTCCAGTCTTACCAGGTTTAGTTTAACAATACATGCATAGCATTCATTGTGTAAGGAAGAAAGAAAATGCAAATAACAGAAAATAAATTCAGTAGAAATAGAAGAACACACAATCTCTCTCCAGTGTTGCAGAGTTCTGTCATGAGAGCCATACCCTCCTGAGGATCCTACGAGGCAACCACCCTGCAGCTGTTTTAGACAAAGCACTCAACAGGTCATAGCACAAGGTTATAAGGGAACGAGAGAATTTTACTTGCACTTTAAGTTTTAAAACACTCATCTTTGTAACAGTCTCCTGGTTACCTGTTAAGGCAAGTTTAGACCATTTGCTGGCTCAGAATCTCAGGCGGCTGTACTGACACTTAGGAAATTCCAAGGGAGGCGGCGTAACTAGAAAGCATATGGCCTGCCGTGTTGATTCAAAGGACAAGAGAAGCAGAGACATCGAGACTCCCCGATGATCCCCAAACCTCAGACGCTATGATCAGTCCTGGTAGCAATGAAAACTTAGGTAGGGAGAATAAAAGCCTTCTGATTCAGTGTGATGACTTACTGACCACTACTTGGTGATCTGATTGGGGAGGAAAACTTAGGTCCTATGGTGCAAATTCTGGACTAATGTTTCTAGGTGGGTTCACAAATAAATTCCATTCTCTGAAAGTGACAGTTTATACCACACAGAGAGAAACTGTCCAACTGCAGAAATTAATTAGACAATTCCTAATGGGATGATTAATTAGAAAAAATTAATAAACACATTTATTACCACATGTATGAAGTTAGAGCTGTGTTAGTGGGAAGACAGAAGAAAAGAAATGAGTGAGAAAATGATGCTAAATACATTGTACTTATGGTCCCAGTAGAGGAAGAACAGAGCAGGCTCAGCTGAGACCAACAGTAATTTGTACCTGACCCTGTGCCCCACAACCAAAGAAATATTCTTTTCCGTTACTCAGTGGAGTGATAGTGAAAAAGCTCTTCTTGGAACTGATAGTTTGTGCTTTCAAAGAAAAAAATTTTCCATCTGTCACAAACAATATGACATTATTTCCTGGCTTGAGACATTGTAGATGAGTTTTGTTTAAATGTACCCTAACTTCAGTGTAGAGAGAAATAACGTCTCTATATAACGAGAACATTCCAGAGCAGGCAACATAATTAACTATTGCACACATGTGTCTGACCGCCATCTGCTGTGCAGAAAGAACGGGTGGCCGGATGTGGAGTCCTGGCTCTCGCTCTGTGACACAGCCAGTGCCCGAGAGAGGCTGTGCTGAATTTATCAGCTCATCCTAGACCACTTTCAGTTTTTAATATAAAGAAAAATCACGACAGGATTTAGGTGATTCTGGGCTCTGGGCTCTGAGATAGCTGAAAGATCAAAATTTTGGCTTCTCCTTGCTGAAACTTACCTGTTCAGCTGGTCTGCAATCACCATCAATAACCCCATGCCCCACCCGCTAAGTAAAGGACTGTGCAGCTGGATGGTGCTAATTAGTTCATTGGAATTGAGGTCAAGCATTAATTAAGAATCTTCCAGACCCAGAGCTGCTCTCCTCCAAGGGAGAATTCTCATTATAAATACATTTTCCCTTGTGCTTGGGTAGGGACACATTTGTAATTTTCTCAGATGGCACTGTTGCTACTGTTATTACAATAGCCTTTCTGCATCTGTTGGGCAGTGCTATGAATTCCTTTTTTTTTGAAGCACAAGGTGAAAGCCAAAGCAGTGTTAAAGCAGGCACTCCAGTGTGCACACTTTTATGTCAATTAAAAAACAAACAAATGGAAGCCTTCCTCTTATTTCCTTCAGATCAGTGCAATGTTATTTTCATTTTCTCTCTTTGTATTTCTATGTCCTGCTTTTGTTTACATTTTATCTCTCCTTATATAAACTCGCTGACATCAGGATAGTCTATTACTATGTCTAGGAACTGTCTATGGAGCCCATTCTGTCATAACCTCACATTGGTGATAGGATAGATAATTGAGGGATGGGAGCCAAGGTATCCAGGCTAAGTAGTGGGACAGGATTCATTTTAAGGTGTTTTTTGCCAAATGTCTATTAAGCGCATAGCAGCAAGAAATTTCAGTGTGTGACTCTCTAAGTCACAAACCCTGTTCAGCATTTCTGTGCATACTCACACCAGCGGGTGAATCAAGTTTGACAACCTCAGTTTCGAGTGTGCAGCATAGATTGAAATGTGTTAGATTTATGTGAACATCATGAAATTTCAAAAATCTGATGCGTAGTCTTTCTGTACTATGACAGCTGGCTAGGAGCCTGACTTTTGGACTAGTGAGCTGAAGCTCCAGAGCGATACTTTGATTCTGTCTCTGTTTTCTGCCATACTAACTAATATTTGGAAAAGGTTACTGTCCCTCACTCAGGATTGCCAGAAAGGTCATGCTGATCCAAGCACCTGTATAGGATTCATAGACTTCCCCTTTGGACCGCAGCAGCTCCATTTTGGAGGATGAAACCAAGATAGGTGATCTCACTCTCAAAATACTTCTGGACTCTGTGTCCAGGGCGACCTGTTGCTGCCTTTAAAACTGAGACAAGTCACCCTTGAAATGAATTGTAAATAGGTCCTGAGATGAGGAAAGCTTTTTACAATATCATCAAAGAGGCAAAAACATAGATTATAATGGCTCTGATTTATTTTGTGTAACTCTTTTAAAGAGGAGAAGTCACAACAGAAGGACAACGAGACGCACTTCCTTCATCCAGTATCTATGCAAACAATGTTCTGAGACTGACCAGAACCACTCTTTGGTCAGAAATATCTCTAAAGTGGAGACAAGTCCTCAGGCAATGAAAAATTTCCTGATGTATCACTCAGGAATGTCTGATGTCCTTGTGCTGACTGCATAGCTACCGATAAGAGAGGGTCTTGAACACTGTCCCCGAGTACCCAGGTTCTCACCCACCCAGAGACCTCATGATGTGTGTTACACCATGGCGGTCCCCCGCTGTACCTGAATGTGTTTGTGTCTTGGTTTTGGGAATCCCTTTAGGTGTTAATACAGAGGCAGATAACTCAGTCTCATCCTCCCCCCAGTGAACTTTCAAAACTGATTTCAGTGCTGGATTAGTACTGTATCGCTGATGTCAATATCAAAACAGGACAAAGCTAATGGAACAACTCTTGGACCAACACTGACTCCCACCCAGACACCAAATCTGCGCAGGGCAATGCCTTCATTTCCTCTTTATTAAAACAAGTGGCAATGAGAGGGAACCACTTGTTTCCCTTCTGATCTTCCAGGCATTTCCTGTTCTCTTGCTCATTCTGCCTCTCCCACCCCTGCCTGGCTCTGTCCTTCAGGATCTGGCTCCTAAATCCAGACTCTTCCCTGTGGTTATTAAAACAGGTCAGAATACCCTCTGTTACTTTATATTCCCTGTAGGTCTAACTCTATACTATTTAACCTGACTAGATACTTCCTTCTGCGGCATGAGAGAGTGACCAAGAGCTACTTGGAGACATTCTGGGGGGATTTTTTTTCTTCCAGGAGGATGAGGGTGTGTTGAACCAGATCACTGCAGTAAACCTCAGTGCTCAGTGGGCTGGAGATCTCCCAAGCAGATGGCTTTCACCTCTTCAACATAATGTGCCTCTTGCCCAAAGGTAATAAAATAAAAGTGTATCATCCCCCAAGAAGCACCCTAAAGAAGGAAAGACTGCTGTCCAATCTCAAAACATTCAGAAATAATTCCTCTCTTTGAAAAGCTCTCTAGATTACTATATTTTAAATACTTGGATAAGAATTCTGTCTGGGAAGATGGAATTCTTTGGCCCCCAGACTGTTCAGTGATCTGCAGACTGTTAAGAGCAGGGAGTGAGTTAGGGAAAGACACTTCTCCCAAGGAGGGAGAAATAAATAAAAACCAGCAAACTTTGCAGGCGATTTTGTGAAAGGTCACTTTTAATCATCTTGTATTTGTTGATCAATTTCACCCATGAGATACATTTCAGACATCTATTAGGCATGAGATTTATAAACACATGTAGCAAAAGAGAAATCACAAACCTGCTTGCTGTCTCCCCTTGTTCTTTCCTTCAGGTGCGTGTGGACAGAAGAAAAATGACGATAAACTGGTGAATACATTTACAGCACTTGATAATGGCCAAACTGGAGACTGGGGAATTGAGTACCTTAAGTGACCTTTTTCAAGTATGAGCCAGAAAAGCAATATTATTTACAAAAAATGTACCCACATGGCATAGATCTGAGATAGCACAACATTTACCTGACAAATCCAATATTGCCACCATATAGCCCAAACCCACAGACGCTTCATTAAGCAAAGTTATCCACAGTTAAGCTAAATTGGTTCTGATCTAATCAGAGTTACCAAAGGCTCTTAGGAAGTCGCTGGTTCAATGTAGCTGTAGTCCTTGTGCGTTAGGCAGACTTTGGGGTTTCCAAATCTGAATTTACTAATATGTGACTGAGGCTTTGTAATTCACTTATTAAACTAGGTGTTTTTTGCTACTGCGTAAAGTATGAATTCCCTTAGGGTAAATAAGGTATATAGAAAATCTATCAGAGTGCCTCTTACCTACAGCTGGGCAGCAATTTTAATAACTTATTTTAGTGACTGTAGGCCTGAGCAACATGGTGTAGGGCCCTACTCTGAAGATGAACTGTGGGCCTCTGGACAAGCTTCCCACCATCTTGCGAGTCTTGTGTTTTCAATGACTAAATGAAAGGCATTAGATCGAATAGTCTTAAAATGTGACTTCTTACGGTGCTCCTTGGCATCTTTGGAAATTCATGGCTTCCCACAGACTCATGAATTGTGTGACTCATTATCTAAAATTGCACATTTACCTGTGTTTCACCCTTTGCACGGTCTTCACTTTGAGAAGAAAATCAAGAAAAAAATATTTCCTCTATAAATCTTTCTGTCATTGAAACAAAACTTTGGCATAGTACTTGTCACACCTGACAGGTGAATTTAAGTGACAGACTGGACAAGAAAAGAGAGGGCGAGAAAGTGCCAGGTCGTGTCCCTAGCATTTTGTGTGAGGGGAGGTGGCATCCCTCTTCCCTCTTAGTCCTCTCTTGCACATTGCTCCCTGGAATGGGCCTGTGGGTCAAAAGAACCCTACATATTTTTGAAACTGGGGAACCAGAGCATGGGCTGGTATTCTTTAATTATAAAAATACCATCGATGATGACGATGGTGATGATAATGTTATTGATAATCCAGTCTTTCCCCTGACCACCTATTTGCAATGTTCCCTCGACTTGTTCTCTATTTTACTTTTCTCTTTTGCACTTACTTCCACTTGACATGTAATTGACTTGATTGTCTATTCCCAGTATCCCTTGTATATATACTTCCTGAGGCCTGAGAGTCCACCTTTATTTTCTCTCTGACTGCTGACTTGCTGCATGGAGTGTCTTACATGCAGATATCCCATGAATACTTGTTGAAGGATTAGACTGTGGATGCTAAAGGGAAACATGCAATATAAATAAAAAGAAGTTTGGTCTGTTTCTTACTACATTATTCTGCACCCAGTAAACCAGCTAATTATAAATGGAAAGGGATTCCCTTAAGTTATTGTAAATACTCTTCTCACAAATTTAGAAATTTGACTAAAGTAGGTTTTCTTTCAAAAGCAAAAGTTCTGACTTGGCTTAGGGGAGTCCAAGAATACATTAAAACTCTAGGCAATGCTTTGATGTTTTTGTGCATTGATTATTTTTTGGGGGGAGAGTTCATAATTTTCATCACATTCTTTTTGATTTTTAGAAAAAGAACAGTAATAACAACATCATCATCATCATCATCAATACCACCACCATCAACAAGCACAACATCATCAACAACAGCTAAGAACCACAAGGACAGTGCAGCATCCCTGGAGGAAGGGAGAGGCTATCCCGACCCCTGTGGAATTTATCTGTGATGGCCATGTCACTCGGGACAGGCAAGAGCTCATGGATGAGAGGGCTGACTCTCGGGTCAGTGAGTATGCAGGGAAGGGGCAGGAGGGCCTGGCTCACAGGCAGCCTGGCATGGGATGAAGGCAGGTGTTCGAATCGATCCTCCTCCACATCCACCCCCACTAACAACAGGGAGAAGAGTGGAGGGAAAAAAAATCATGTGCGTAAAAATCACTGGGAGAATTTGACTCATTATTAAATAGATTTTTCCTGGCTTCAGAATGACTTGTCATCCCAAAACTGTAGCAAGTGGGAAGCCAGATAATCACCTATGACAATAGATCACTCTCTTCTGTCACTGGAGGACTCTCTACTGGTTTTCTTACTAACCTTATTGTTTTCCATTTACCTCAAACCCTTCTTGAAGATAAGAAATATAATTTCTGTATCATTCTCATTTTGTATTCATCACCCAAGACATAGTTATATTCCTTTTTTGTTTTTCCTACACGAAAACTTTGAAAAGATCTAATATTCTGTAAGAGGAGTTCAACTAAACTTCAAGATCTGAGTGAAAAGAGGACACTAGCCCACACATTCACTCGACAACACTTAGGCCTCTCTCCTTGCTCAGGATCCTCCTCTCTGAAACTCTAGGGTGGGAGTTGCCAAGTGCTGACAAGTGCTTAGCCTATGGGAGACATGTTCAACCATCCTGATAGTGCTTTTCCCTTTTTTCTTTTTTTGAATGGGAAAACTGAGGCCTGGGCGAGACAGGAGGGCCACTTAAGGAAATTGCTTGCAACCTCGCAGCAGCATGGCCTGGAACAGACACAGTGGTGTCTGCTGTGGTTTCCTTTCCAGTTCAGTAAGATCAGGAGGGTCTCCCGAGTCACAGAAGAGATGTGCCTTGAATCCCAGGAAGCCCTAAGGTTAGGGTTTTGTTGGTAGGGAAACAGCCATGCTCTAAAACACGAAGCTAGATAAGCAATTTAATACTTTTTGTGAACAGTTTGAAGAACTGACTATTCTAATTGAGCTGAGTGACTCAGAAAGCCTTTCTCATGACTTAACCGGATTTGAAGTTTCATTGAGGGCTTCTTTAATTAGATGGGATTATGATTTAACACACACTTTAGTAGCACAACTACTGTCATAACAGTCTTAAGACTAATGACTTTTAAAAACAATTAAAGATCACTGTGGTAAAATTAAGATTGTTTATTACTCCCCAGGTTCTCACTTCCTTCTAGGTACATGGTAGGTTTGTACCTTCCCATTCTCTTGCATTTAGGAATGACTAGATGATTTGCTTTGGCCAATGAAAGAAGACTAGACATAGTATTACTTTAAAAGTTTTTGAGCGCTATTTCCAAATTTTAATCTGATCAGTCTTATTGCCTCATTTAAACTCTAATCCTATTACTCTGATTTTTCATTTTTGGGTACTCGTACGAGTCTGATCTTCATGTGAAAACTCAGGGACCATGCTGTAAGGAGATGCTAAGGAGAAATGACTTTGACTGATGCAAATGTGCAAAGATGTGTTATTCTCAAGGTGCTCCCCTCTTGAGATCAAGAGAGTGGAAGATAATCCTTCTTTTTAAAGAACTGTGGAGCTCACCTTTAGAATTGTGGTGGGTTTTATGAGCTGAGACAGTAGGAAAGTAACATGTTACAGTAGAAAGAAATTTCTACAAAAGTCTGTGGTGATGAGGAGTGATACTGATTCTGTGTAGTTTTGTGCTTGAGTTGCTGCTGAACAGACACAAATCTCTTTAATATCACCAGAAAAGAGAACAAGCCAAAGCCAACACTTCTTGTGTGTGGGCGTGGTTTGTTTACCAAATCCCAGAAGACCCCTCCACAGCAGCAGCTGTCACCCTGGTACCTACTTGGTGGGGCTGCAGGTGTGCAAAGCCTTCAAGTGCGGCTTCCAGGTTGCAATGGAAACAGATTTCTCATCTGCTGCATAACTGCGCCAAACGCACTGCATGTGGCAAAGACGGGGACATAGAAAAGAGAAAGACAGCAGGACACAGAATGAGCTGAAAAGGGAGATGATTAAGTTACGATACATTAAGAACCTTTTCCTCACCATACTCAGTCCCCACGAATTTCTAAAGGAAAAAGACTACTTTGCCATTTCTGGCTGGCTGTCACAACTCCGCCACATCAGAATGGATCTTCAGAACAGAGCATGTCAAAAAGCAAAAGTGAAAAAAAAAGTACAACATCATGAAATGTTTGAACTGATTAGGGAAAGAAACTATATTATCTGAAACAAAATTAGTTAAGAAGTAATTAGTTCAATATATATTGATGTCTAAGAGACCAGTTAGATAAATGACTTGGGCATGATCATTCATTCCAGGAATTGTTTTTTGATCACTATTTGGGAAGATAAAAGCAAAGAATTATCAAAAGTCCACTATGCAACTAGTGAACTAACTAATAAACAAGTGGCTTCCAGTGTTTGTTAGTAATTTAGTGAAATCTCTGAAGTTGAACTATGCAATATTCCCAATGCTAAAAAAGGAAGACAGTTGAAACAAGAAGCAGAGCCAAACAAGATAGCATGAAATTTATTTTTAAGGAACATAATTTGAAAGCACTAAAGGATTTAATGCCTCCTAAGAATATATGTGTTAAGTACAGGTATCAACTCCTTACAAGAATATAATTGTTTTGTACTGCAAACACATACTAATGAAAATAAAAACAAAAAAATACAAGCTCTAGTTCATATAATTATATCTCACACATATGATAAGAAGCATTTTCATGTGATCCTTATAATCAGAGTACAGATCAAGACTCATTTTGCAGATGAGAAAACAAAGTGTTCAGGTAAATAAGGAGGTTGATACAGGTTGGTAAAATGGTTGTCTCCAGTCACCAGGCTCTGGGTCCCAGCCTCTCAGGGGGAATTTTGCTGGTTGCAGGATGACTGTGACTGGAGAAGTTTCCATCTGTACTGTCCATTTGAGGGAGTGCCTGAGCTTGTTTTCCCGTATAGATTTCGGTACATTTGTCCTGTTGCACTCAGCCAGCAAACGTCTCTAATGACCAAGTGTTCACTCCAATCTCCACAGAGAAATTTTTTATTATGATTTGTTACTCTGAATATTCCATTTTATGTGGCAAATTCATTTAATAAATGGGCCATATCCTTACTATGTCACCATCGGTCATGATTTTGAAACCCACCAGGAAAAAGTGATCCAATTATAGTCCCTTCCCTGAGAACATCATTGAACAAATGTGAGAGGAATGAAAAATGCAAAAATCAGCATGACTATTTTGGAAAACTGTCTGACAGTATCTATTAAAGGTGAACATTATCTCTATGATATAGCTACCAATTTCTAGGTAAATATTCTACAGATATGCTTATATGTGTTTACCAAAAGATATGCACTATATATCGTTTTTTATTGGTGCGTGTTAGTATTATAGAACAGTGGGATTTATTTTGAAAAGTTGGTACTGTACATGTCGTTAACATATCTTTATCTTTTTCAGTCCTGTTACCCTATTCTTTTTCCCTTTTGCTTCCTTATCCCCTTTCCTGTCTCCAGTCTTCTCTCCTTTATTTTATTATTTTATGTATGTTTTAGGTTTCTCATATAAGAGAAAATATATAATATTTAACTTTCTGAGTCTGGCTAATTTCACTGAAGATGGATGGTTTCTAGTTCCATCATTTTTCCTGTAAATAATATAGTTTCATTCTTTATGATTAATATTCACATATACATATATATCACAAAATATACATATATATATATCAGTTCCTTTATGCATTCATTTGTTGATAGTCATCTAGGCTGTTTCTATAGCTTAGCTGTTGTTAATTGTGCTGTTATAAACACGGGTATACACATATGCAGTCTTTAACTGTTTTGGGAATATGCCCAGGAGTGGGTCAAACCGTGTTTTTTTTTTGTTGTTGTTCTTTGAGGAATCACCACACTGACTTCCACAGTGGTTGTACTAGTAGTTGTACTAGTTTGCATTTCCACTAACAATGTAGGAGAGCTCCTTTCATCCCACTCCCTTGCCAGTATTCATTGTTGTTTTGTACTCTAGGTATAGCCATTCTGACTCGGGTGAGATGGAATCTCAGAGTAGTTGCATTTCCCTGATGGCTAGTACTTCTGAGAAGTGTTTATTCAGTTCATTTGCCCATATTTTTTCTTTGATTTGGGGTGCTCATGTTTTGAGTTCTTCAAATGTTCTAGATATTGATCCTCTATTAGAAGTATAGCTAGCAGAGATTTTCTCCCACTCAGGAGGTGGTCTTCATTCTCTTGTTTTCTTTGCTGGGTGGAAGCTTTTTAATTGGGGGTAGTGCCATTTGCTGAGTCTTGCTATTATGTCCTGTGCTACTGGTGTACTACTTGGGGATTTTGCCTGGACCTATGATTTGAAGTGTTTCCCCTATGTTGTCTTTTAGCACTGTCACTATTTCAGTTTTATATGTAGGTATTTGATACAGTTTGGTTTGCTTTTAGTGTAAGATGAGAGATAGGGATCTAGTTTAAATCTTCTGCATGTGGATAGTCAATTTTTCCAGCACTATTTATTAAAGAGTTGTTTTTTTTTTCAGTATATGTTTTTGGTACCTTTGTCAAAACTCTGATGGCTGTTCGTGCACAGGCTTGTGTCTGTATCTTCCCTTTTATTCCCACCAGTCTACATTTATGTTTCTGCGGCAATAATATGTTGTTTTCTAGTAATCTGGACAGACAAGTCTTGACATCTATCAATAGTAGTGTAAATAGAAAATGTATGGTATGGTAAGATCATGGAATACTCTAATGGTAGTAGTCCACTCTAACCGTGCCTAACCATATGGTTGAGCCTCCTACAAATGATGCTGCATGAGAGAAACAAGACATAAAAAAGTACATTTTCATAAAGCACAAAACCCAGGCAAATCAATCTATCCTGCTACAAAGTAGACATAGTTATCCTTGTAGGATGGTGGTTGAGAAAAGGCACTTAGGCAGTTGCATATTTCTTATCTGAGTGCTGGTTATTCCTAATACTAAGTTCTCAGGAAATACAGTGGTGCCTCAGTTTATGAACTTGATTCTTTCCACAATTCTGGTCACAAATCGAGTTGGATGATTATCAAATTAAATAAAAAATGAAGACACGAGCACATTAGTTTTGGGCTACATAGGGTCAGGGTCTTCTACCTTTACAACCCATTCCATTAAAAAGTCTTCAGGGGCAGTAACACTCGTGAGGCTGCTGTCTTCTACGATAGCAATGCCTTCTTCTGGGTCCCACCTAATGGACTTGCCTGAGGCTGTTTTACAATTAACTTCCTTTAAAATTAAATTAAAATAGTACACTCTTCAATAAGGATTAAAAGTATGGTATTTAATAAATGCACAAGTCAATGAAAAAATTTCATTAGGTTCAATATTGACCTCACAGGGAAGTTTGATTCAGTTCTAGACCAGTTTGGTTTGCAACCAGAATCAGGAGAGAACTGAGTTCATGAACCAAGGGACCTCTTGCATGTTCTTTTCTGTATGCAAAATATTCCACAGTAAAATATTCAGTAAGTGACATGATGAACTAGAACCTGAGGGATTTTCTGTTTTCAAGGAGGTTTTTAAAAAATATTTTCAAGCAGGATTATTTGCTAGAAGACTTGATCATGTGGCTCATGTTGAATTAACTGATAAATCTATGTAAATTTGTGCTCTTAACATTTTATATATAATAATGATCATTATAACATCTTGAGGTTTTTGCAACTGTGCACGCATGGCATTTAGTGATCTAGATTAATCAGTGAAAACACATGAATTTATTATTACAGCTCCTTCTGTAGTAATGAGGTCCAGAGAGCCTCCAGGGTGGTGAAGGCACAGATGGCTGCTTTTATTGAACAGTTTCCACTTGTTCAATAGAATATGATTCATACAGCAGGTCAATGCATTAGCTAATTCCAGTTAAGAATCCAGAGCAACAATATAATAAAAAACAGGACCAAGGTATTACCTGATAATGTTATAAAGAATCGGGGACCCCTTGGAGAAAATTAAAGATTTTCTCTACAATAAGACCTGGACTCTTTGCTCTTTTTCTATAAAAGTGATCTTAACAGCTAAGCTCTTGTTCCTGGTCATTACTCTTCTTCTAAAAATGTCTTGTAAATGAGAGGTGGAGAAAGGATGAGTGGTATCTATCACAGGGCTATTACTAGTTCACTGTCAAAATAGAAGTGGAGAGTGTAACACTACCACTTTTATATCTTAATAACCTTGTCCTGTTCCTGCTCCCTGCTAATTGCTTCTAACAGCTGAAATTCAAGCCCACATTCAGATGAGCTAGTACCTGATGTTCCTATACTTAAGGGCCAAATCACATAGTGGTTGGCAAGAGAAAATTCAGAGAGATTTCCCATGGTTAATTTACATGGCATATCTATTCCAAAGGACAAGTTAACAAGAAACACGAAGGCCAAATTTGCTATTTATCAAGCCATACTGGTGCTGAGTAGCCAAAGAAACTTGAACGTTGCTCTTTACCTCAGGATAATTCAGTTCTAGGGGAGTTCTAGTTTGTATTGTCGGGAGTAGTTTACTTATAGAAATGGTCCCGAAAACTTCAGCTGACCAACCAAAGACATATTAATATGGAACTTATTTTTTTCAAGGTACACAGTTTAGACTACTAGTCCTGCAAAAATTTAGGATGTAAGCTAGCAAGCCCCTTCACATTCACATTAATTTCTACTTTGCAGTGGCAACTTCTTTAGTTCTTCTAGCTGTCATTTCTGTTCTTAAGAATCCTTATTTTTAAGGATAAGGTTCACAATTATATTTCTTGATTTTTCAATTTCAGACATTATCCATTAACTTCCAACTATCAAAGAAAATAGTGTGGCCTACTTACACACTCTTTCCTTATCTCATATTTCCAATGTTTTTATATCACAATTTTAGCCAGTGTTTGCATTATTATGAGCATGTAACTATTGTTCCCAGCTCAGCAGTATAATTTATTATGAGTACTCTTTCCTGTATAATATTTCGGTTTTTCTTGGAGTTATTATTGCCCTATTTTAATTTCTTGAATTGCCTTCTTGTAACAATTATAAACGCATTCTCAGTCTCATCTGCAGAATTCTAAAATTCCTCTTGTCAAAATGTCATGAAACCAATCAATTTCACTTTTTAGTACTCTTGAAGGTGGTTTTTCTGGAGCTCATGGCCTTCTGCTCCATCGGCATCCAGCCTGCTGTGCCTGTGGTCCTGCGACTTGCCTTCCTCATCATCCTGGGATCCCCTTTGCCCTTTCCTGTGTGGTTATTCTCATTCCCCGAATCTCATGCCTCTTAGTGTCTTGGTTTATCGCCTTGTTCTGGAAGAGCAATTCTACCTCGATAGATTTCTGGAGCAAGAGCAAATAGCCTATTTTTGAGATTGTCCATGCGTATGAACATCTCTGTGCTCCCCTTACATTCCATGAATGTCTAGCTACATACAGAATTCTAGATGGGAAGTAATTTTCTTCCAAAATTTTGAATGTGTTCTTTCACTGTTTTCTAATTTTAGAGTTACTAAAGAGTTACGCTATCCTGATTCCTGAATCTATGGATATGTGCACTCAGACAGCATTTAGGATCTCTCTTTGCAGGTGTTCTGATATCTCATTATGATAACTCTGGTGTGAACTTGCTGACTTACAGTGCTGGGCGCTTGGTGGATTCTTTTACTGTGACCAGTCCTGCCTTTCAGTTCCAGAGAATCACACTGCAATTTTCTCTGGAAATCCCCCCTCTTAGTTTCCCTGTAGTCTAAGGAACCTCTACTAGTTGGCTCTTGGAACTCTTGGAAATGTCTTTCAGTTTTCTTTTTTGTCTTATTTTTCACCTCTGTCTTTTTAGTCTTTATTCTGTGGGAGATTTTCACAATTTTATTTTCCCTTTTTATCTGTTTTTATATTTTTTACACCTAGGATTTTTTTCTGTCTTTATGAATGACTCAAACATTAAGACAGACAGATCATCCCTGTATAAGTAACTCAAACCTGTGGGCTGGTAGCTTCATTCTAGGGTAATTAGAAGAATATTAAGAGGAAGCCAAAATGGCAATACACAGGTTTTTTTTCCTTTTGGGTTAGTTATCTTCCTCAAGGAAACATCTTCAAATCTTTTCTCTGAAGGAAATTAACGCCATCTGTCAGCCTTCATTTTACAAATGCTCACCTAATTTTCCTGTCTCTGGTTTTAGTAAAGCACCTTGGGTCCACTCTGAGTTGGTCCAGCCTTTCCAGAAGTAGACCTGTGACATGGACCTTAGGAAGAATCTTTAAGGACTAATCCCAAGGCTATACAATGCGCAGGTATCCAAAATATTACTGAAAGCTGATTTCTTTTCCCAGACGGCTCCACTTGTAATGAAAAGTTAATTTAAATGAATCATGCAAAGATATTGACACAGCTCAAAGTGCTGAAGACTGCCAGGGTTTTGAACTTTTCACTAAAACCCTGAAATGCTAGTTAATTTAGTTCTCTTGCTAACCAAAAAAAACAAAGCAATCTGGGCATCTCACTTGCTCTTGTAAGAAGGTAGTGGTTCTGGCTTAAAACAAATGAGACAGTTTTTGGTCTTGATGCCTTGTATGTTCAGCAAACCAAATCAAATTTATTGGGTAAGAAAATGAATGGATTGGCAAATGAGGCTTGATTTTTCAATATATCGCATCCTTAAAAATAAATTTCTATAATCTATCACCAAGGCCCAAAGCCCTGAATCTTGTCCAAAGATTATACTGAGGGTAAATAATGAGCCAAATAATTGTTACATTATTATTCTTATGTATAATAAATAGATGGCATTAAATGGGGAATGAGTTGCTTTTTAAATTAGTAAATTTTATTTTGATTCATGAAACAATGATCAGATTTTAAAGGTATTCTTGAATGTATCAATCCTTACACTTTGTGTTCTTTTCTGCTAAGAGCAACATAAACTTTGGACTTTTAAGTAAAAGAAAAATTCATGATTTTGCTGTATTTTTGCCTACATTTTTTCAAGCTGGAGTGCTGATCCCAATATATGCTATATAAACAAGTTCCAAAAAATGAAATTTCAAGCCTCTAGGCAAAACCATTCAATTAGCGTCTTCTTTATTTCCTGGGTTACCTGTGAGGAGGCCTTGCCTTATTTTGGTTGTGGACATATAAATTCCTCTGCTTTGATGATTTAATACAGAAATATCAATGCATTTTTAAGTTCTATTGGAAATTGCTTTTGCATAATTTAGTAGTTGATAATGACAGATGAAAAGTTTCTGCTTTCTTTGTCTGTGTCAGTCTTGTGCAGTGTTGTAGCCAATAGTCAGTTATAACCACTGCACATTGGTCGAGGGCCACAAGTTTTAGATTTTAATGAACTTATATTTAAATAGCTACATGTAATTCATGGTGGCCGTCGTGGTCACCATAGCTCCGTAGCATCAGAACTGAAACCTGTATCAGAAACTTCTCCAACGGCTTGCTTTCTGACACAAGCCTTTAGTGCTGATGCTCTAAGAGGTTTCACGCCTATAAGATGTACTACTGGTTGCATATGTAGGCAGGCACTGGTGTCCAGAGAAAGCAAGAAACCCATCAAGATGCTTTGGTTCTCACATGATGAAAAATATTGTTTTAGAGTGAAGGGAAATTAAAGACAACAATAATAAAGAAGAGGTTTTGTTAGGTGTATGGAAGCATGAACCACCAGATAAGAAGCACCAAGGACGAAGGCTCTGAGTCCCGGGCCTCCGGGTGCTCTGTATGTGCCAAAGTGTGTAACTCCTTTTTTCATTCTGGACACTATTGTTTGGCACCAGTTTCTAAATTGCAACTACTTAGGGATTCATTCCTTTGAGCAAATGGAGTTTACTTTCTCTTTTAAAATCGGGAGATTTAAAAAAATAGAGACTCAGTTGTTTGCATTAGAAGTCATACCCATTGTTCCACTTTCTTGTCAATGCGTAGTTGCAGAGTAACTTGATTAGAATTTAGTGTGCTAATTTAGTCCTTAGAGACAAAGAGATCTTCTTGATATATTGGAGCTGCATTCCTGATCTCCCCTAGCTCTATTTCTTTTTTTTTTTTTTTTGAGATAGGGTCTCACTATGTAGTTGAGACTGACCTGGAACTCACTATATAGCTCAGGCTGGTCTCGAACTCACAGTGACCCTCCTGCCTCAGCCTCCCCAAGTGCTGGGATTGCAGGCGTGCACCAACAGGCCCGGCTAGCTCTGTTTCTTTTGGAGGGGCTGAATTCCATAGCCACACATAAAGGCTGATGGGTAGGGATCACTGGTGGGTACTTTCTATTAACCCAGCCCCTCAAACCTGCAATCTTAATGAAAGCAACATGCTTCTTGCTACAACATGAAGGCAAATCTCTTAGGATCTCCATTTGCCATCCCAAATACCTCCAGTTTAGAGGTTCTGGTGAGTCACTTGTCTGGCAGGAAGAGAAAAATTAAACTGTAGAACTATCTTTCTCATAATTAAATGCCAACTCAATATTATGAGTCTAGAAAATAATATATTTTGTGATTCTTTACCTGATTGCACTCCCAAGAGATATGTATAGGAAAAGAGAAGCATTTCTTTTAGTGCTAAAGCAAGTCCTGAGTTCAGGAAACAAAAGGCTAAATCATGTCTGTCTCCAAATAATATGCTTATTGTTTCATAAGCTCAAACATTGCTGTCTTCCATAATCCCACCAGCCTTTAAAATAGGATACTATTTCAAGTTACTGCTGTACACAGCATTAAAAGCAATTCCACAGGTGTTAAACTTTGACATTCTAAACAGATAGGCTGTTTTCCAGAACGGTGGTAAACATTGGCTGGAGAAGGTCATTGTAATGCAGGGAACAATGCCATCTTTGGCTCCATCAATGAATGATCAATTGTGTTCCACCTTGTAATTCATAAGACATACTGGGTCATTCCCGGAGCAACAGAACCGCTAACCTCTACACCTCTTTGCTGCATGGTTAGTTTGAACGACGCAAGGATCTTTTGGTGAAAAAGTGTATTTTTGTGTTTGGGAGAAGGGGAACACTTTCTAGACGGTAGATTGTACAGTTCTGACTGCATTTTTAAAAAAGCAACGAGGTACAGGGGTTGAAAAGCCACTCAGCAAGCACGCACGGTGACAGATGTTGCCGTCTACCAATTGCACTGACATCTACCTGAATGAGGTTGGCAGCTGGGTTTCTTCTCTTCTCGAAGTGTTTCTGGCGGTGTTGTTCCTGTACTTTTAGTGCAAAACCTGAGCCAAGAATGCCCTGGAACAAAATATAAAAACAGTACTTTTAAAAAAAATTCAAGAGCGCTGTCAAATAACATACATGTTTAAAAAACCTCTACAGTGAGTCTGAGATATGACAAATAGAATATAACCTGTCCACAATAGAGAATGCTACTTGTTAAAAGAAACACTCTATTAGAATACCGTTAGCTATTGGCAAGCTGTTGGGCAACACTGCCAAGGGACACAGTAACTTCTGTTCTTTCGCGAGCCAGTTAGGTTATCACCATTTATTGTCTTTGATGGCAGAGGAAGCGGCACTATACTTAAACATAAAAAAACAACAGGAGCTTTCTTTGTGGTATTTCTTTATGCTTAGATTTGCCTGAGTACTCTTTTCCAGTGATGTGACTTAGCAGATGTGAATTCTGGTTTCCCATAGCTGCAGTCTGAGTCTGGCAGAGTGAAAGCCTTACTGCTGTGTACTCGGGACCACTCGGACGTGCATATCCTCCATCCAGGAAGTGCGGAGCGAGTGTTTCAAATCATCCCAGCTGTAGTCCTTCGTGATGCAACAATTCTACATGTACCAAAGTACAACAGTAGAGGAAGGGGACAGTTATTCAGACGAGGTGAGCAGCCAATCGGTTCTGAAGAGAGGAGAGTTTTCATTTTGCCTTTGTGTACGACAAAGACGAGAGCGTGACTCATATGAATCACGTTGCTCTTTTCCTGTGTTAAGCAGGCACTGTCAGCATGCCTCACCCTTTTGGTGGCAGCTCACCTATTTGGATTTTGGGCTTAGTAAGGTAGTACGCCCTCCCGTGTTTACATGAGGTTTTGGCTCGTCTGCCGTCCTCCTGCTTATCATCTGGATCTGCCAAAAGTCGGCTTCTTTGATGTTCCTTTCCCTTTTCGGTTTGCTTTGGTCTAACATTTGTGAAATCAAGATGCTTTTTGTCTCAGCCTCTGGTTGACTTTCAGAGCTTGCTATATTCTGTCTCTGGGCTTTGTCTATACTCTCGACTTTATTAGTATGGGACTTGAAGCTCCTCTGCTTTCAAGTTTGTGGATTTTACTTGCTAGCTATAAATTATTAGCTTTTCATTAAACTTCAAGGAGTCTAACCCTTAGGTTAGAGGTGGACATCTTACAAGCAAGAAGTCATATCTGCCATAGGTAAGGGCTGCTTTCTTTCTTTTTCTTTAAGCAGTTCAAAGACGATACAGGCTGCCTGTGTAGGTGGTGGATTTTTCAGCTCTTGGAGGTGTAAAGTCTCAGCTGGTGGTGATAGCTTGGCTGACATATTTCGGGGCTGTAGATAGCCTTTAACCTCTTCCTATTTTGAGATCCCACAATTATGACCACATCTGTGACAATAACCAGACAATAACTAATGCAATCATGTTCTGAATATACAAATACTATTTGCTATTAATGAACAACAATGCATGGCACTATTAATTAGGACAAATGACTGTACCTTGAAATTAGCAATGACCTCATAGGCTCTGGATTCCATCTCTCTTTTTTTTTTTAGCCTCATGCTGGCTTAAGATCTCCATCTCATACAAGTTGTGATTACACAAACTAAGCTTTATGAAAACCTGGTTTCTGTGATCTGGTTTGTACATTTAAACAATATTTGCCTCTTATAAGTTGGAGGTTATAAAAACAGCTCTCCATTTCCAAGTTCAGATCAACACTAGTCATTTGTAAGTCCTAATTTTTTATTTGTTCTAAAGTTATTTGGGAAGGACTGATTTATTTTCCTTTTAATATCATTTTCCATGAAGTCTAAACACATTAAAAATATAAAAGCATTAGAATGTATAGACTTATTTGTAATATATATTAGATGTGTATATATATGTGTATATATATTAAATGTACATATTGTGTACATATTTGTAGCTAGCTTGCTCTTCTAGAGAACAATTCAGATTTTGTAGAAATTGAATTAGCAAGAAGAGCTATCATTTTTAAGCACCTATGTGGACACGAGGGTCAGAGTTAAATCCCCTTGGGAAATGAAAACAGGTCCTGTAGCACAGATTTCACATTTACCAACAATCTTAAATGTGCTGAAAATCACTTGGTATTGCTGAGAAACATGTATTAGTAGACAACAACCATTTGTTCCATATCTCTTGTGCCAGACTGTACATTACAGCCGTTATTAAACCAGGTCTGCTCATTGTCACATTATGGCTCTTTTCCAGCTTTCTTCCGCCTCTGCCTCTCTCGCCACATGCAACTCAGTGCACCTAAATAGAAGTCTTTTAACATTAAGTCTGTCGAGACACACACACACACACACACACACACACACACACAGCATTTAATCTTCAGACATATGTGCCAGGCCTTCAAAATGGACAGTAACAGATGAAAACTCCTAGAAACGGTGGAAGTGATATTTTTGTCTTCATTCATTTTGAAAGAAAATAAGACTTAAATATTTAGGCTTTAAGTTTTAATATTAGCCTGAGAAGAGATTCATAAACACCAAGTTCAAAAAAATGTTTTGGTAAACATTTAAAATATTTATCCCTTATCTTCCAGCTCAAATGAGCATAATTTGTAGCTCACGCATGGTAAACAAGCCATGCTGAAAGATTTTTCAACCCTTGTTAAAATTTTATTACACATTATCATATTTGTTAATATTGCTAACGATTTAGGTATTGACCATAGGTAGTTATTGAATGTTAATATCAAGTCAAACAACTAGCCCTTCCTTTGACCTTAGTAGCTGGTTATCTCAGTATCTGTGAAACTCAGTTTCTTCTTCACCAGTGAAAAGATGCCTGTCACAGATTATCTAGCAGGAGGGAGAGAACCCCTGAGAGAGGAGAACAACCTGCTCATCAGGGGGATGTGGAAGAGCTGGGGTTCCCTCTGGGGCCCCAAGGGGAGTGACCGCCAGGGGAGCTCAGTAAGGCCTTGTGACACCCAAGAACCACTTCCCTCGAAGGTAAGATGGCCACACTTCCTCTTCCAGTTTCCCAGGGAGAAGCAGCTCACATCCATTTCAGACTTTCCCAGCAAGACGCCAGCACGTTCTCCTAAGTTTCAGTCAGACAGCATTGTTGGCTGGCAGTTGCGCAGGATAAAGTGGTAACTCAGCAGGACCCATGAGGTGGCAGTGCAGAGAGCCGAAGTGGAGGCTGCTTTTGTTGACAAGACGCTATTTTACGACACTGTGTTAGGCACTCACATTTTCCAGATTTCCCACGTCTGTTAATTCAACTTGCATTCAAACACTGTAACCACTTTCTTGGAAACACTCCCAGGAGTAACTAGTCTCTGACCTGTAGGCTGACCTCATGACACAGTTTAACCTCCCCGTAATTGTCTGGAGTTTCATGGTGGGGCCTAGACATTTCAATGTGCTGGATGCAGCTGGCTTCCAGAGGTGGGAGAACTGAGCACTAATTAGTCCCAGACAGGTCTTCTCAGACTGTGAATGCCTCTATTTCCTTGGTTCTTACAGATTTTCTTTTCTCTCCCTTGCTGTTAGTCTTTTACCATTTCTTCTTGTTTTTTTTTGTTCTACCAGCCTCTCTCTACATTTGCTGTTTTATAATCTACAAAGAATTATGAAACTATATAGTAAGTTTATCAGAGTTTTCTTGGATAATGAAGACTCAATTGTAAATTAGGTCTCAAATGGCACTCTTATGGGACCACATATTGTCTCATTAAAACTCAGCTACATCTGTGATCTCAGGCTAAATAGAAACCCCAAAGCAGCAGGTATTTGTGCCATTATTTTAGAAAAAAAGAAATCAAGGCTGCATTTTACTGTTTCTGAAGGTGTTTCTCATGGAGAATCTGATTACTGAACGAGTCTTCTCTGTTTGCTCTGTCTGGATTGTTAAAATTGCCAGATGAGTTGATTTCGGATAAATGAGGCCCCCCCCATTTTCTTTTATTTCATCATTTTGTACATGGAAACATGTAGTTTTATACTTATGCAGGTAAAGAGAAGTGACATTGAGCTTTCTTCAAAACAAGCACATAATATTATAAACATCTTCACAAAATTTCTCTGGGCTCTTTAATTCTTCCTATCTTATAATGATGAAGAAACATACTTAAGTCACTGTTTTGAGCTGCATTATGCCTTGCCACACCAATTCTTATGTGGGCGTTGGAATCCTTTCACGTCAGAATGTGAAGTTATTTGAAGTCAGGGCCCTTACTGTGGAAATCAAGTTAAAATGATGTCATCAGGATGGGCCCTAATCCAATATGGCACACGAAGAAAGACGAGGAAGTCAGGGCAGGGATGAACTGAAGACACAGGAAGAAGACAACCATGGACAAAGCCAAGGAGAAAGACTGAGACAGATCCTCCTCCCACGGCTCTCAGAAGGATCCACCCTGCCAGCCCCTAGGTTTTAGCCTCCCAGGACTGTAAGAGAACACATTTCTGTTGTTTCACACAGCCGGTCTGTGGCTTCCTGTTGCAGGAGCGCTAGCAAACTAGTCCGGTCACACAGCGCTGACGCACGGTTTCATACTGAGTGCCAAGCAAGGCCTGAGTACCAAGGCCTGAGCACAGGCATGGTCTTTTCAGTGTCTTTCCGAAGACTTTGGCCCAGGGTAGAGCCAGCTAGTCAGAATGGAGTTGACCCTGGCTGTCAGAAGGACATTCATTTCCAGGAGGAGCAGCAGGGAGCCGCAGTTCCCAGGTGACCTCCCGCTCCTTGGCGTTTTGCGTCTCCGCTGGGAGGAGGCAAAGCCTCAACGCGTGACTTCAGCGAGACCTTGTCTGTTTTCCTGAGCACAGGAGCCCTAGGCCACGGTCTCAACCTCCTTTCTGGTGACCTCCCCGCTGCCAGGTGGAGTAGCCAACGATGAGAGTTGGGTGGGGTGAAGGGCACTATTTTGACCAACTGCCCGTAAACAAACAAGAAGATGCAATGACCGGAAAGGGAAGCTTCGTCCGTTAAGAAGAAAATAATCAGAAGCGAGCGGGAAGATGAATGTGTTCTTCATTCTGCTAAAACGCAGAAACTGCTATTTAAAAACAATCAATGACAACTGGATAAAGAAGTTGTGGTTTTTCTATAAAATGGAATATTACTCAGCCATAAAGAGTGAGAGAATAGATTCATTCATAGGAAAATGGATACATATTGAAGATATACTCCTAAGTGAAATAAATAAGTCACACATGTGTGAATACCAAATAGTTTCCCTGGTGTGAATATTCTGCAACAATGCATAAGATTCTAATAAGATTACTGACATTTAGAAATTTGAAGAAAGGAGCTAAAGGTGTAGGGAAGGTGTGATGCGTAGGGGAAGAACAAAAAGGGAAAAGAAAAAAATGTGAGAGAATGAAAAGATGAAAATAAAGTGTTTGTAGATGGGGAGGGGAGGAGGGGGTGAAGGGAGGGCAGAGGAAAGGGGAAAAAATGAGAATCAAGACTTGCCATGTAGAGGTACATTATCCCAACAATGAATGTAACTGTACTGTATCCCTAAAATGTACCAATAAACTCAATAAAATTAAAAAAAAACCAATCAATGACAGAGACACAAAGAATAAATCATGGGACACATTTAAAGCCATTTAAGGTCATATACTTTTTCACCCAAATGGATCTGAAGAAGAAAACACTCCACATACACTTATCTGTCTCTTCAGAAGCACGTATTATAATCCAGACGGGAGTGATCAGTTTAAGATGAAGATATCTTTAAATCTTTACAAATATTTTAAGTGTATTAGTGGCATACTGGCTGAGAGGCCATTTGGATGATTATCTGGCCACGAACCCCTAGCTGGTATTAAAGTCTCAAGTGCCTTTGAGGGAAGGACCTTATTTTATGAAGTATCCACCTGTCAACATTATATTAGAAAAACACTGTTCATCAGTAACACAGATAGGTTTCCAGGCACACCAGTTTGTGATAGCTCCCTCCCATAAACCTCTACAACCCAATTTAAACTGCTTCATTGTTTTAAAGAGACTTACAGCAGGGAGTGCAAAGAAAGAAATGCCCAGGAGTGCAAAGCCTGCAGACAGCAACCTTCCCAGCCAAGTCAGGGGAGTTTTGTCTCCATAGCCAATAGTCGTCAATGTGATCTAAAAACAAAATAAACAAAACATTCAGCTCAAGTACTTGAGAGGAGGGAAGTTAGGACCCATGAACAGGAGGCAAAGCAGCATTTCCACTAAATCATTATTCCACGTGTCTTGTTGGCATATTTTATTGCTGTGCTTTAATTTTCCGTGACGCATAAGAGGACTTCTCTTTGTTTAAGGAAAGGAATGACCTACATACTTGTTCTACCCCTGTAACAGAGTTTTTTATCTTTTCTGAGAGAATTTCACAGAAAGGTTAAGGAAGCAGATAATCATCAGGGATATGAAAAATGACTATACTACGTGTTTAGGAATCTGTACTGCAAATAATCATTTATGTTAACGAGGGGCATCCATTCATTTCCTCTACAAGCTCCCCCTGGAGTTCTGGGGTGTGTGAGGGTCATGTTATGATTTGTAGTGGAACCAAAAAGACAGGTACAAGGTTCTTGTCCTAAGATACTTAAGTCATTGTAAGGGAAGTGTGTCACACACAGATAATTACAAAACAAAAGAAGGCAAGGCAGGGATCATTTATTTATTTATTTTTGACTTTGTGTTTGTTTTTAATGAAGATATAGGTAAAAATCAGACTTTCGTTAAACACCTCCACCAATTAATTAATACAGTAATCTGCAGAGAGGGCTATTTTTTTAAAACTAGCAAATCAAGACCTCTCTCTACCTAAGGCAGGGTTTGTGATGGAGGCACAATCACCTGCTGTAGGAATTCAAGGAACAGACTGGTTACTATGAGCTGGAGGGTTGAGGCTCATTGGAGGGCTGATGTCAGCCGACTTAGGCTTTCAAGGAAGGGCAGCGCTGAGAAAGGCAGAAATGACAGAGAGGGCTCTGCAGAAGGGAAACAGATGCAGAATGCGAAGTACAACAGGGAAAGTTCTGGAGAGTGTACCTCGCTCAGCGGGTGGCTTCTCCAGTTTCTTTCATTAACATTTTATGGTTTTCAGTGTATGGGGCTTGTACTTTCTTGGTTACATTTATTCCTAAGTATTTTATTTTTGGCTGCTGTGAGAATGTTCTGATTTCTTTCCCATTGTTAGTGTCTTAAAAATTGTACTGACATGTGCATACATTGATATTTTTAATCCTGCAACTTTGTTGAATTATTCATTCTGTTTTTTTATGTGTGTGTGTGTGTATGTGTGTATGAGTGGTCTTTAGAGTTTTCTCTATACAGATGATGTCATCAGAAATCAGCGATAATTTCACTTCTTCTGCTCAATTTCGATGCCTTTTATTTCTTTCTCTTGCCTAATTGCTCTGGTGAGAATTTTCAGTACTCTGTTGAATAGAAGGGGGGCAGGTGGTCTCCCTTGTCTCACTCTGGATGTTAAATGAAAGGCTTTCCGTCTTTCTCCCATGAGCACAATGCTAGCTGTGGGGTTATCATATACATCTTTATTGCACTGAAGTACATTGTTCCTATACCTAATTTGTTGTGTTGTTTTTTAATCATGAAAGGATTTTGCATTCCGTCAAACCCTTTTTCTGTATGTAATGAGACGATCTGAAATAAAACAAACACAAAGATGAATTCTCCATGCTGTCCTTATATGCGGAATCTAAAACAACCAAACTCATAAAAACAGAGAAGAGAAGCCTGGTTATCAGAGCCAGGAGATAACAGTTAAGGGGTACACAGTCTCAGCTAGGAGGACTAAAGCGGGTTTTTTGAGATCTACTGAACAGCATTGTGAATATGGTTAATAATAGTATATAATAAAAATGGCTGAAGTACTATATTTTTGTTGTCACCAAAAAAACAAAAGGACTTAAAGTCATGGATACATTAATTAGTATGATTTGATTATTCTACATTGTATTCATAAATCATAACATCTATTGAATCCAATAAATACATACAGCAATAATCTGTCACTTTATAGTAAAAAACAGAAAAGCATTGGGGGAAGAGGAGTTTAATGAAGTATGCTAAAGTTAGGTCAAGGAATATCTTGCTTTTGTAAAATTTATTTTGTTTTACTTTTCCGTGATGTTGAGTCTCAAACCCATTTGCCCGGCAAGTGTTCTGTCACCGAGCTACGTCCCCAGCCCCTCAGGGAATGCCTTTGAAAATGAAAACCATGCCATGTCTCTTGTAGTCAAACTCTCCAGGAGCTTCCTACACCCTGTAAAACCAGTCCAACTCCTTTCCATGGCCTAAGTGGTTCGACATCATGGAGCTGTGGCCAGCCTGTCAGACATGGCCTTCCAGCGTTCCCGTCTCATTCTTTTCCCAGCACGCTTGCCTTGCTCTCCAGCAGCACACTGGTCTGTGCCTCACCTCAGGACCTTCAGATTTGCTGTTTTCCTGGTGGGTTTCTCTAACTCCAAAGTCTCCATTCAGGTAGCCGCTCAAATGTCAGCTCCACAGGAAGACCATCCCCCGTTAAGGGGTACCAGAGTGCAAATGGGAAAGAGCAGTAACTTCTAACGTTCTACAGCTCGTTAACTGGTTGCCCAGAGTAACTATGACATCAACATATAATAGATTAGTTCAAAATAGTAGAGAGGATTTTGAATGTTCCTAAGGTAAAGAGATGATAAGTCTGTGAGATGATAGGTATGCTCATTACTCTGTCTGATCATTATTATACACGTGTGTGTCACACTGTGCCTCATATGAACAATTACATAAAATATGCCAATAAAGTATATTTTGAAAAAAAACTAGCCCTCATTGCCTTACTTAAGATAGCTCTTTGCCAATTGTTCTCTCAAACCTAACTCTGCTCATTTTTATGAATGTGTTAAAAACATCAGTGTCTGAAATAATATTCTGTGATTAAATTTACTTGTTTCCTGTGGGCTGTGGCTGTGCTTGCTCCCAGGGCCGTGATGGATATCGTAGTTAGTAAAGGAACAGACGCATTGTATGGGGGATAAGGATTCTGTTTCCCATTGCGAGCTGAGAAATACTTACGAAGGGTTTGTAAAGCAGTGCACACTATTGAGGTGCTCTTAGAAATTAAAATTATGGCAACGAATGTACAGAACAGACTGGCACTGGGGGAAATGAGAGAAACTGGGAAGCCAGTTAAAAGAATGTATAGGAGTGTTTAAGAAGCTCGACAGAAACACATTTATTGATAGTTGAGGGGAAGGGTGAAGACTATGTCAACAATGACTTGAAAAGTTCAAATGGGAAGATGTTTGCACCATAAATAAAAAAAGAATAATGAAAAGGGAAGGTTTGAGAGTAAAGGTGAAGAGTTGGTTTTGCAAATAATGGTGTCTAAAATGCCAGTACTACTCTGATGTAGAAATGTCTAGCAGGGACTAGAGAATAAGAGCTCAGGTCTTGAGAGAAAGATCAGTTTGGCAGGAGATCTGGGATCTGAAATCTGGTATGGGGTGACTGTCAAAGCTTTGGGCACACAGAGATTATACAGAGTGCCAAGAAGCAGTCTACAGACACCTCAGGAAACAGACATTCAAGGGCGGAAGGCAACGGAAAGACAGAAAATACTATTTAAAAGGGCTATATGGACAAGAATATAACAACTTAACAGTCATAGGGGCTCACTTTCCTTTGAAACTATTGACCCTTCAGTGAAGGAAAATGAGAGAAGAAAAGAAAATAAAGAAAGAAGAAAAAACGCTAAAAGAAGAAATCCGAGTTAGGGCAGGAACAGGAAAAAGCAAGGGAGATGAGGAAAAAGAAGTCAGAAAAAAGAAAGAATTTGCAGAGTGGAATGAGGAAAAGAAAGAAGAAAAAGAATTTGAAGGGCTTCTTTCAGACTATATTTTTGCCATCATGTCCAAAACTAAGTCCATGGCTGACCCCTGAGATTCAGGCTGAATTTGGGCTGCAAGGCCCAAATTGAGCTCCCTGACCTCATGCAGGGTTGGACTCTGCAAGGTTCTACTACAGGTTCCCTCTACCCTTTCTCTGAAACTCAATGGAGGAGGGAGGGAAAGAGAGAGAGAGAGAGAGAGAGAGAGAGAGAGAGAGAGACACTTTTACAATGAACTGGGAGATCCCTGATGCCACAGGCTGGTAGGAAACTGGGAGAGTAAGATTAGGGAAGGGGCACCGTGCAGGTGGGCAGGCCGTGCTTTCCTCCTGCCATCTTGCCTGGGCAGTGGAGGGTTAATGCTTTGTGAAGTAGCAATGATAAAGAAGGAGATAAATAAATGCCTCAGTGCCAGGCCTTTCTTTTTTTCTAATTAATTTTATTGATACATTTATGGTATACAATATAGTGACATTCATCATTGGAAATTTGCAGCTTTACATGATCCATCTTGGTTCTTATTTTTTCCCCATCCCCTGCCCCTCCAGGCTTTTCAAAAGCATTACCCTCAGTTCCTTTCCGCCCTTCCCTCCTGACCTTTTCCCTTTGTATTTCTGGTAGCCCCTCTTCTGTGCCTTTGCTTGCTCTTGGCCACCACTGACTATTGGATTCCTAAGGTTTGGCTCTAGGTCCTTAAAACAATTATTCTTCTCAAACTTTCTGTTTTATTTCCTTCCTTTTTTCTCTTCCCAGGTGATTTTAAATATTCTGATGGATTTAAATACCATTTCTGGGCTGAACAGATCAAGTTTAGACTCCTAAGCCAGGCTGCTCTTCTGAGCCCTGAATTCACAGGTCTGCAGTTGATATTTCCATTTTCACGTCACACAGCATGGAGACTCCCAGACTGTCATCTTAATCAAGAGCACAACCACCCATCCACTCGGCACCAGAGCCCTCAGAGTCATCCTAGTTCCTTTTTCTCTTGCTCCCCTCACTGAGTTGATTTCCAAGTCCCGCTCATTCTATTTCTTTAAGAGACTGCAAATTCATCCCTGGAAGACCAGTGTGGTACAATAGTCTCTTAATTGCTTTCTCTACATTTCCTCTTGCTTCTAGTTCTCTATGCACCTGAAAGGGGTACCATTGTCTTATTCCTCTCCAAAAATCTTTCAGTGGTTATCTACTGAATTCAGAATACATTCTAAGTTCTCAGCTCTTAACCATGGCCCCGATCCTTGCC